ACAGAAGGGGGGGCGGCAGCTGACCTCCTCCACACCGTCTCTCAGCTGGAGGCCCACATGAGCCTGAGCAGGAAGTGTGAGTGATGCTGCAGATGTTCAGCCTCCACGCTGCAGGAGTGTGTGTCTGATGTGTGTGTGTGTGTGCCCCCCACAGTGCTGCGTCTGGGGAACTCTGTGGAGGCGCTGGAGGCTGCCAAGAGGGCCATCCACCTGTCTGACGGAGTTCTGAGGCTGTGCCTGACCATCAGCCACCTGAACAGAGCCATGTACTTCGCCTGTGACAACATCCTTTGGGCCGGGAAGACGGGCCTGGTCCCCGAAGTGGACCTGCACAAGTGGAGCCAGAGATCTTTCAGGTGGGCGTCTTCTTAAATGGGATGTTTAATGACAAATGCATGTTATTGGAACCGTGTTTGTGCTGCTTAAAATCAGCTGCTGTCTAAGAAAGGATGAGATAGGCAACTAATGTACAGAAACACAATATTCACATTTTCATCCCCTAGTATCCTCATAAAACACATGGGAATGTGTGTTAAAAACGATGTGTGTTAATGACAAAATTGTTCACGACGGAGTGTGTTAATCAGTGCGTGTTAATGACTGTAACTTATATTTTTAAGTGTGTGCTAAAGACTGTCTTAATGATGGTTTGTAATAATGAAAGTGTGTGTGCGTTATCGACGATGTATGTTAATGATATAAATGACAGTGTGCTTTAACGGTAGTCTGTGTTAGGGCTATGCGATTATGGCAAAAATCATAATCACGATGATTTTTGTCAATAATTGATATCACGATTATTAAATACGATTATTCATTGACTTTGAAAACATCCATTTATTGAACTTTAAAACAAATACAAATAATAATTTGAACAGTATCTTTTTAACTGTTGATTACCCTGAACGTATAATTCAACTGAAAAACCAATACAAAAATAAATAAAATACGCAAATGCAAAATAATCGTTTTTTTCGATTATGTTGTTTTCGTAATTGTGGCAGGCCAAAATCGTAAATGCGATTAAAATACGATTAATTGCACAGCCCTAGTTTGTGTTAATAACAGTGCGTGTTAATGCAAGTGCGTGTTATCGATGATGTGTGTGGGTTATTGAGTTTTACTTAATGACGGTGTGCTTTAATGAAAGTGTGCGTGTTATTGTTGATGTGTGTTAAAGGGCCCAATTTGGACCAATCAGCGGGGGCTTGTGTGTGTTAACAATGTTGTGTGTAATGACAGTGTGTGATTGAGTGTGTGTTAATGAGGGTGTGTGTGTGTGTAATGACGGTGTGTGTGTGTGTGTAATGACAGTGTGTGATTGAGTGTGTGTTAATGAGGGTGTGTGTGATTGAGTGTGTGTTAATGACGGTGTGTGTGATTGAGTGTGTGTTAATGACGGTGTGTGTGTGTGTAATGACGGTGTGTGTGCGTGTAATGACGGTGTGATTGAGTGTGTGTTAATGAGGGTGTGTGTGTAATGACGGTGTGTGTGTAATGACGGTGTGTGTGTGTGTAATGACGGTGTGTGTGTGTGTGTGTAATGACAGTGAGTGATAGTGTGTGTTAATGACAGTGTGTGTGTGCAGGTACTACCTCTTCACTCTGATCCTGAACCTGACTCGAGATGTGTACGAGCTGCACCTCCTCATGGATAGAGAAGCCCGCTACAGAGCCTCCAAATCCCCGCCCTCAGCCCAGCCCAGCTCCTCCCTGTCTGCTGACCCCCCCTCCCCGACCCCAGAGGCTCTGCCGTGGCTCAGCAGACAGCTCCACCTGCTGGTGACGGTGCTGTACAGCAACCCCCCCCTGCTGCTGGACCTGCTGAAGAACTTGTGTGATATCTTTATCCCTCTGGACCGGCTGGGGATCCGCCCCACGGGGTCCGGCTTCGTGGGGGCCTGCGGCCTCACCTCCTCCCTCCTCTCCATCGCCACCATCCTCCACCCCTGGCTCAAGCTCAAGCCCTGAACCTAGAAACTGATATGACTAACAGGCGGCCCACTGCTTCACTTCCTGCCTGCATGTTTGAAATGATCACAGCGTCAGGTAGCAGGTGTGAGGCACAGACTGCTTCCACAAAGCTGACTGCTATGTCACACTGATCACTATCAAAAGATAACTATGGTTTACCACCAAAGGGTCTGTGGCAAAGCCTCCCCTGCACTTCACTCTGAAGAGATTGAAATATACAGAGCTGCTTTATTAATGCAACATGAACCTGGAATAGAATCTGAATGCATGGCCGGTTCTTAACATACATTTTGTAAAAAAGAAAAGTCTAAATGATGTGTAAGATAGGGATGTATGCTCATTGTATTTGATATTTGGGTGTGTAAATAAAATTAATTTAAAAATGTTTGGTGTTATATTTGATAGCATTCAGCCTTTTGGTCCTGTTAAATATGCAATCAGTAAATCAGTGGTTCCTGACTGTTAGGACTGCACGATGAATTACATCCTCAATTCGTTACCGAGGTATAAACTGAACGATGATCCCCATCACATTACCAAGTCAGAATTCCCTCGAATACAAACATGTTTATTCTGATTTTGCAGTGAAAACATTTGTTTTTCTCCAGATCACATTTGAATACACCTGCTAGCCTTATCTACTGAGCCTGCAGGTTTCAACTTGGATTTGTTGTTCATGTTGGGGAAATATTGTCCTAGGCCCATAACTTTAACCCAGTGTATACTGTCCTCTGAGCTCAGGCGCCTGTAGCCTTGCTGCTGCCCTCCCTGTTCCTGCCTGTTGGCGTCAGCTGATAGAGGTGTTATGGTTCTATGTTCCTGCCTGTTGGCGTCAGCTGATAGAGGTGTTATGGTTCTATGTTCCTGCCTGTTGGCGTCAGCTGATAGAGGTGTTATGGTTCTATGTTCCTGCCTGTTGGCGTCAGCTGATAGAGGTGTTATGGTTCTATGTTCCTGCCTGTTGGCGTCAGCTGATAGGTGTTATGGTTCTATGTTCCTGCCTGCTGGCGTCAGCTGATAGGTGTTATGGTTCTATGTTCCTGCCTTCTGGCGTCAGCTGATAGGTGTTATGGTTCTATGTTCCTGCCTTCTGGCATCAGCTGATAGGTGTTATGGTTCTATGTTCCTGCCTTCTGGCATCAGCTGATAGGTGTTATGGTTCTATGTTCCTGCCTTCTGGCATCAGCTGATAGGTGTTATGGTTCTATGTTCCTGCCTGCTGGCGTCAGCTGATAGGTGTTATGGTTCTATGTTCCTGCCTTCTGGCGTCAGCTGATAGGTGTTATGGTTCTATGTTCCTGCCTTCTGGCATCAGCTGATAGAGGTGTTATGGTTCTATGTTCCTGCCTGCTGGCGTCAGCTGATAGAGGTGTTATGGTTCTATGTTCCTGCCTGTTGGCGTCAGTTGATAGAGGTGTTATGGTTCTATGTTCCTGCCTGTTGGCGTCAGCTGATAGAGGTGTTATGGTTCTATGTTCCTGCCTGTTGGCGTCAGCTGATAGAGGTGTTATGGTTCTATGTTCCTGCCTGTTGGCGTCAGTTGATAGAGGTGTTATGGTTCTATGTTCCTGTCTGTTGGCGTCAGCTGATAGAGGTGTTATGGTTCTATGTTCCTGTCTGTTGGCGTCAGCTGATAGGTGTTATGGTTCTATGTTCCTGTCTGTTGGCGTCAGCTGATAGAGGTGTTATGGTTCTATGTTCCTGTCTGTTGGCGTCAGCTGATAGAGGTGTTATGGTTCTATGTTCCTGTCTGTTGGCGTCAGCTGATAGAGGTGTTATGGTTCTATGTTCCTGTCTGTTGGCGTCAGTTGATAGAGGTGTTATGGTTCTATGTTCCTGCCTGTTGGCGTCAGCTGATAGAGGTGTTATGGTTCTATGTTCCTGCCTGTTGGCATCAGTTGATAGAGGTGTTATGGTTCTATGTTCCTGCCTGTTGGCGTCAGCTGATAGAGGTGTTATGGTTCTATGTTCCTGCCTGTTGGCATCAGTTGATAGAGGTGTTATGGTTCTATGTTCCTGCCTGTTGGCGTCAGCTGATAGAGGTGTTATGGTTCTATGTTCCTGCCTGTTGGCGTCAGCTGATAGAGGTGTTATGGTTCTATGTTCCTGCCTGTTGGCGTCAGTTGATAGAGGTGTTATGGTTCTGAGTTCCTGTCTGTTGGCGTCAGCTGATAGAGGTGTTATGGTTCTATGTTCCTGCCTGTTGGCATCAGTTGATAGAGGTGTTATGGTTCTATGTTCCTGCCTGTTGGCGTCAGCTGATAGAGGAGTTATGGTTCTATGTTCCTGCCTGTTGGCGTCAGCTGATAGAGGTGTTATGGTTCTATGTTCCTGTCTGTTGGCGTCAGCTGATAGGTGTTATGGTTCTATGTTCCTGCCTGTTGGCATCAGTTGATAGAGGTGTTATGGTTCTATGTTCCTGCCTGTTGGCGTCAGCTGATAGAGGAGTTATGGTTCTATGTTCCTGCCTGTTGGCGTCAGCTGATAGGTGTTATGGTTCTATGTTCCTGTCTGTTGGCGTCAGCTGATAGGTGTTATGGTTCTATGTTCCTGCCTGTTGGCATCAGTTGATAGAGGTGTTATGGTTCTATGTTCCTGCCTGTTGGCGTCAGCTGATAGAGGAGTTATGGTTCTATGTTCCTGCCTGTTGGCGTCAGCTGATAGAGGTGTTATGGTTCTGAGTTCCTGTCTGTTGGCGTCAGCTGATAGAGGTGTTATGGTTCTATGTTCCTGCCTGTTGGCGTCAGCTGATAGAGGTGTTATGGTTCTATGTTCCTGCCTGTTGGCGTCAGCTGATAGAGGTGTTATGGTTCTATGTTCCTGCCTGTTGGCGTCAGCTGATAGAGGTGTTATGGTTCTATGTTCCTGCCTGTTGGCGTCAGCTGATAGAGGTGTTATGGTTCTATGTTCCTGCCTGTTGGCGTCAGCTGATAGAGGTGTTATGGTTCTATGTTCCTGCCTGTTGGCGTCAGCTGATAGAGGAGTTATGGTTCTATGTTCCTGCCTGTTGGCGTCAGCTGATAGAGGTGTTATGGTTCTATGTTCCTGCCTGTTGGCGTCAGCTGATAGGTGTTATGGTTCTATGTTCCTGCCTGTTGGCGTCAGCTGATAGAGGTGTTATGGTTCTATGTTCCTGCCTGTTGGCGTCAGCTGATAGGTGTTATGGTTCTATGTTCCTGCCTGTTGGCGTCAGCTGATAGAGGAGTTATGGTTCTATGTTCCTGCCTGTTGGCGTCAGCTGATAGAGGTGTTATGGTTCTATGTTCCTGCCTGTTGGCGTCAGCTGATAGGTGTTATGGTTCTATGTTCCTGCCTGTTGGCGTCAGCTGATAGAGGAGTTATGGTGCTTTGCCTGTTTGATCTTGTTATGCAGCATGTTGACTATTCTCTCAGATCCAGCTAAACACATACATGGTTCTGGGGTAGAGATCTTCAGAACACGCCACTGTGTCACCTCGTGGCGGCAGCACGTCTTGTGAATTCTCCGTTCTGATTTGAACGCGTCACCTTAACCACAACGACACCGTCAGAATGTCAGGGACCACAAGGGCACGAGAGGAACAAATCACAGGACTCGAGCTAAATAAAAACAACATTTGTTTAATTCAGGTCGTTACTGTAACAAAAGGAAAGTAAAAACAGACAAAAAAATGAGGCCAGGGAGTGGAAACATTTTCCTGCTGGTGTTTGTGTCCAGGTTACTCCGTCTCCGCGTCTGAGGAGGCTGTGGGAAGAGCAGAGGGGGGGTCAGTGAAGCCTGAACCACTGCATGGCATTAATGCTGAGGGAACACTGCTTTGCACACAGTCCTGTTGCTTTGGGAGTCAGCTGGAAGATCAACCTCTCTAACCTCGCTGATCTCAGATCCCTCAAGAATTTGCCTAGATACTTTAACTTAAAGGGGACCTATCATGCAAAATGCACTTTTGTACGTCTTTTCTACATGAATATGTGTCCCCGGTGTTCCAGGGAACTCACCAAGTGTCAGAAAACACAACCCTCTCTATTTTCCTCCATACCCAAATCTCTAATAAAGGGGCTGCAACGGATCTGATACAGACTGATCCAGATTTGAACACTTTACTGACGTCACAGAAGTGGCGCTACGGCTATTGGGCCAACTCTCCACCTATCAGGGGAATGTGGGGTTGGGCCACGGCCGGCCATTGCCGCTCGAAAGCGCTGGAGACGCTGTAGTACATATGCCAGGCCTGTAAGTGGCCCTGTAGTCTGCCACAAAAGCAGCGAAGAAGACTTCCCGCCCATAGTTACCATGGTTACCCTTCTGTTTATTCTCCGCTGTGGCTTTTTTTCTCCCTCCCCGAGGCAAGCGTTTGCTCCCGCTGCTTTAATTCAATGCAATCCCTCCCCGTCGAGGCAAGCACTGTAATTCTCTCCGGTTAGTCCACCAGCAGATGACAAACACCCACCTCTCCGCCTCTTCCAAGGAACGAGGGGACCGTGCGGCAGAGTTTCAGTTTCAGTTTCTTTCGCCGGACAAAATTTGAAAAGTGGCGGTCAAAGGTCTTCTTTGTTATTTATTGAGCTTTAAAACAAATGAATAACGACTCTATAGGCCTATAACAATATAATAAAACCATAGACTATATATATATATATAAATAAAACACGGAGGACGGAGATCTTTTTTTCTCCCCCTCTTGACTTGATCAGAGCACGGCTCCCCTCTCCTACAGGGGGGCGTGGTCAGCTGCAGCTCACAGAGATCAGCCCCGTAGACAGCAAACAGCACATAGAGCGAAATGAGGCATGGCTAAAATGCATGATCTGTTTGGTATTTTGAAAACAGAAACGTATAAATATACCTTATATAGGTATGGCCCTACAATATATCATTTAAATCAGTGGTTCTCAACTGGTTAGGCCTCGGGACCCACTTTTTACTTGGTCAATACATCGTGACCCAACATTTTGAAGCACTCAAATCTATTCAACAAAAAATCGTGCTGTAATATATATGCTTTTCAGAATACAATATTAATAAAAGTGAAGTACAGTGCATATATCCCGTCACAGAACTAAAGTATGCTTTTAAAAAAGGTTTAATGAGATAATGGAATCAAAGCTGAACTATAAAAAGGCACACATGCTGAAAACCCAACCCCAGCAGGGGGGTCTGGGGAGATTCTCCCCCAGGAGATTTTTAGAAATACTAACAAACTACGCATTCTGGTACACTCTGAGAAGAAAATAAATAAATCTATTACTACCCGACATATTAATAATATTTTATGCCATTGTTTGTTTTTCACTTAGTTCTGACAGCTTGCTGAGAGAAGAGTAAAGAGGAGATTCTGTGTGACTTACTTTAAATTGTGGGTAAGGGTAGATAGCTCCCATTGTTCTGTGACCTGTCAATCATCA